CACTTTGTCTCTCACTGAATTCTTTCTGTGATGAGACATCAGGAACCTGAGCTTCACTAAATCCTGAAACCAGGTGTGTTATCTCAGTTGGAAGACTGTGGGTTTCAGCTGGGTTTGAGTCCCAGCCTTGTGGGTTCAAGTCCCAATCTGAGGTGCACGGTTTCTCTAGAATCTCGCACACAGGGCACATTGTAACAAATGACAAATATTAAATCCTCCCTCTCTCCCTCATCCCTCCTGATACCTGCCCAGAGTCATGGTCTAAGATAACATGACCAGTCTTCCAGAGAGACGATATCAACTGTGTTGCTTCTCTAGCCAAGATGAAAGATTCTTGCATTCACTCACTCACTGGATAACATTTGATCGTTAAGTCCCAGGTGTTGTCAATGGCTGCTGGGAAGGAGAAATGAAGGAGGTATGGAGCCCACTGTGAAGAGCTGTATGTTCGACAGGAGCAGATCAAACACACTTAGGAAAAATTACAATGCAATGGGACAATCCAGTGCTTGCCTTGTTCAGAATATAGAGAAATTATTTTCATATCAGTAGAGGAGATTTGGAGGGAATGAGCAACAGGGAAGAGATTCCTTGAGAGGATGCTGGCAAGACAGGTAAAATCTGCATTCATGGAGGTGGGCCTGGGAAAGTATTTTGAGAAGAGGGAACTAGATGAGAAAAAGTCCTGAGGCAGGAAGTGAAGGAAGCTCTGTGTGTGTGTGTGTGTGTGTGTGTGTGTGTGTGTGTGGTGGTGGTGGTGATGGTGGAGGGTTGGAGGTACAGTCTACAGTTGGAAAAAGCTGATCATGGAACCAGGGAGGGGCAGCTGAGGAGTTTGGACTTAATGTGGTTGATATCATGGAACCTTTACAAGTTCAGAGTATAATGTGGCATGTTATGCTCTGGGAAGATGAATTTGGTCAACAGGTTGAAAGTAGCCTCAAATTGAAGAGAGTGTTGGAGAGCATAAAGTCTGAGAACCTAATTGTGTGGATAAAGAAACCGAGACCAAAGAGGAAGTGACTTGCCATGAGGTTACAAAGCAGTTTTAGGACAAGGAAAGGACTACAAACCCTCCTCTCCTTTGCCTCCCCATGCCCATCCTGCTTCTGTTTCCAAGTGGCCAGGCCCTGTTGATTCTTCCTCTCCCTTCCCACTGGTCTGCTTACATCCAGTCTTCATCTCTTGAGGAAGTTATCTGATTTTATTTAAATGCCCAGGCCTTTTACCTTCTGCATCTTCCTCTTCCTTTGACCAGGAACAAGAAGGAAAAAAACAGAACACAACAGTTGAATGCCTACGTTGACAACGGCAGGCACTTTGTCAGAGACTCAGAGACAAATTGCACTCTCAGCCCAGTAGCTGAGAAAGACAAGGTGACCAGTGGCATCATGCAGAGTCACAGGGACTGAGGGTAAGCACAGCGCTCCCATCACACTGTAGGGGCAATGCATCCACTGGAGGTGGCAGGAGGGGCAAAAAGGCCTCCCAGAGGACGTGATATTTAAGGCGAGTCTGAAGAAGCTAGGTAAGGGTTGCCAGGTGTACGGAGAAGAAAGAGAGCTCCCGGGAGAAAGAGGAACCCGTATAAAGGCAGAGAAGCAGGGTCAGTTAAGGCACCAGACCTCCAATTGGCTGGAGGGTTCAGGACTGGCAGACATGAGGCTGAAGAGCTATGCAAACTACACTGAGGAGTTTGGCCTGATGGGTTTCAGGCTGGGGAGAGGCCACATAGGGTTGGTATTTACCTTCCATCTTCAGTGTCCCTGTTCTTATTATTTCTCCAGTAGCCTCTTCATATCTTTTCCTCTTGGTCAGCCATGGCAGATTATGAGTTCTGCACATTGGAATGTTCAATGTGAGACCAGATGGCCACTCAGCAGTGGGTAAGGGAAGAGTCAGGCTGCCTGGGCTCAGTGGGGCATCTCAGTTTAACCAGGTACTAGCTCTGTGTTAAGAGCAGGCTACTTAACCTCCTTGGGCTAGAGAAAATAATAATGCCAACCTCAGAAGGGTTTTCTGAGGGTTAAGTGAAATGCAGATGAAAAATCCTTAGAATATTGCCGGGCATATATGAGGACAGAGAAAGGACTGACAAGAGCTACACAAAGGCCTTGGGGAAAGGGATTGTCATGGATGCAAGCAAATGGTGGGAACACAGCCTAGTGTTGTTCAGTCTTTGGTGTCATCACTGGCAATCCTCCAGTCACATGCCCTCCGCCCCACCTGAAATTCTGTGCTTCTTTGAGTCTCTGAATTGGTAAACCTGTATTTCTCTAGCATTGAGTCTGCAGATTTACACAGCCTTCCCTTCTTTCCCAAGTCCCTGCACGCAGCAGGTTTTAATAGGGTTGTTGAGAAAAGTGTGAATACAAAAGAAACCAGATCAGCAGATGAGGAGGCTTTTGATTTGGGTTTGCACCGATGACAACACTGCATGCGGTTCGCCCAAGCATCCAATTTATGACTTTGCCTCTTACACTCCTGGTGAGCGCCTCCTGAGCAGAAATGATCTTTTGTGATTAACTTTATATAATGCTTGTGCTAACTCTAGGTCCACCTGAGCAATTCATAAATATTTCAGGAGGAGAGACATAGTGATCTTCCCCAACACACTCATACAACAGTTTCAACATAATTAGGAGCATTTCTGGATCTAACACTGCACTCTTTTTTTAAAAATTTTTTAAAGGAATTTTGCCTTTTTAAAAAAAAAAAATTATTTATTTATTTACGGCTGTGTTGGCTCTTCGTTTCTGTGCGAGGGCTTTCTCTAGTTGCGGCAAGTGGGGGCCACTCCTCATCGCGGTGCGCGGGCCTCTCACTATCGCGGCCTCTCTTGTTGCGGAGCACAGGCTCCAGATGCACAGGCTCAGTAATTGTGGCCCACGGGGCTAGTTGCTCCGCGGCATGTGGGATCTTCCCAGACCAGGGCTCGAACCCGTGTCCCCTGTATCGGCAGGCAGATTCTCAACCACTGCGCCACCAGGGAAGCCCTAACACCACACTCTTAAAATGTGTATGATGAAGGAAATGAATGCTAATTATACGTTATTAAATCTTATTAATCCTCATTAGAACCCTATTATTCTTTATGAGTGGGTTACTGGGGAAGAAAAAAAAAGCAGCACTGGTCAAGTCCCGTTATGTCCAATGGGGAATGGGTGAATCTATTCTTAGTTGGTGTGATACCAGGAGTTTTTCATGTTAAACAATAGCACTCAGAATGTGGGTTTGCTGAAATGATAACAGAGTAAGTGAATTGTGGTGTAACAGAAAGATCTTTTTAAAGCCCCAGAATAAAATCTCTTTAAGAGCTCATGTTTCCTATTTCAAACTACATTAGTTGCAAAGACAAAAATATTTCGTTATTGCATGGAATAGGTACCCTTGACCTTACCTCTACTACTATCTTCATATTTTTTGTATGAGTAGATGAGAAACTGAGAGCAAGAGAGATGGAGTAATTTGGACCCAAGAATGTCTGGATTCAAAGATTTTGCACTAAGAAGATGCTCGATAAATGGTAAGTGCAGAAATGTGTTTCTCCGTTTAATTCTTGGTCAAAAAGAATCCCACCAAATCCCCAAAGAACCAAGTTTTGGAGGTTTCATGAATTAGTAACTCACAGTGTACTCTCAACATTCATTAACAGAAATTAGGAGGTCAGGGCCTCCTTGTTGGGTGGAAAAATCATGGGATTAGTCAGGTGACCTGGTTGGGGGGGAGGTGGGTTCAGGTGTTTGCTCTGTTGCTTATTTTGTGTTGGGTAAGTCATTTAACCTGACTTTTTACCTCAAATGTAAACGATGGACTATAATTTGTCCTAACAAGATCTAATAAACCAGTGAGAAAGTGCTTTTATGATGTGCTGAGGTGAGGACATCAGTAGGATAGAAATACAAGGAAACAGTCTCCAGCCTTGGAGTGTCTTCCAGGCAGTGTCCGCTGCACATTTTAACCCCCTGACACAGTTATTGGTGGGTCCCCTGGTTGCTCACATTTACAACCGTCTGAGAAAAAAAGTCCCACTCAAACCTTCCAAGAACAGGCTTGCCTTTCACCCAGTTCGCAGATTTTTTTTGAAGCTGTAAGCACAGAATAAGCTTTCTGGGCTTCCGGCAGGGTTGTGAAGTGAACTCCAGGGTTTCATTTATTTGAGCACCAGATAGAGGGAGTTGCCTTGAAGCAACTGATAGGCATAGCTATCCAGGGCTCACTGGCAATTAGAACATTCCAGGAACTGACTCCCTCCGGGGCCCAGGGAAGCTCTGAATCTCTTCCCAGGGTGGTCCTCGCTGTCCGCTGACACCTAGCCTGGTTCACTGCTCCGCGGGAAGGAGGGAGTCAGGGCTCTGCCTGGAGACAGGAACACAGCTGGGAGGCCGAGCATCCGGGTCCCGCGCCTGGATCTGTGGCGGGCATGACCTTGTAGGAGTCATTTCTCTTCCGAGAGCTCCAGTTTTCCCATGTGTGAAGTGGACGGGTTGGAAGTTGGTCTGGGCCAGCTCTGAACCTCGCTGGGAATCCGGGGCGGGGCTCACGAGGAAGATCTCTGAAGGGGATTCCACGGCAGGATCTCGTCTGCTCAGATTCAGCCTCCTAATCTGGTGCCCTAACAGTGGACGCAGGTTCCCCCATTTCTTCGGCAGCCCCTCGCCCCGGCCGCTTCCTCCTTCTACGTTTCCTTCCTCTTCCTCCAGTGCAGGCAAAACCTCCACAGCTCCCTTTCCTTTCCTCCTTTGCAGTCTCCCCGCATCCCCGCGTCTTCCCTTCCTCCCAGGAAATCAACTGTCGTCAGCGCGCCCACCTTGGGGCAAGGCCACGGCCCGCGGCGGGCGCCCCCTCCCCCGGCGGCGAGCGCGGCGCGGCGGCCCCGCGGGCACCCGCCTTCCCATACCTTACATGGACAAATGCGTGCAGGCAAAGTCAGGAATTCAGGCCCCTGACGTCAGCCTCCAGCTCTCAGGGCACCGCACGGGAGACCGAGGGGAGGGGGTGGGGACGGTGGGGAGGAAGGAGGGGGAAAGGCACCAACCAGCAGCCGCTCCAGCCCTGCCGAAGTTTCACTTTTTGTCTGTGGGTTCGCTCCCGGGCCCCGTGCGAGCTTTCCTGGGATAAGTAGCTTTAGCGAGCGGGGGAGAGCCAGGCGCTGCAAGGTAAGGGCTGGCTGCGCGGCCGGGGGCGCGGGGCGCGGTGCGGGGCGCGGGGCCGGGCCTGGGGACAATGGGAGGGGGAGTGCCTGGGCACCTCCTCCTTCTCCGCTGCCTCCGCCTCCAGCCGCAGCCGCCGCCGCCGCTGCCCCGGCCGCCTCCTCCCCGAGGTATTTGTTGCAAATCCTCCTTCCTTCCCCCCACTCTCCGCCCGCGGGCGCCTCGGGAACCCCCAGCCCTCCCCGAGCGCGAGCGCCTCCGGGGTGGCAGGAGCGCGGGGCGCAGGGCGCCGAGCGCGCGCCCGGGCCGGGCCGCAGGGCCCGCGGTGCGGAAGTGCCGGCCGCAGCGTAATCATGGGGTGCACGCGTGGGGGAGGGGGACCCCGTGTTTTTCGGGAAGCGTCGACCGGGGGTTGGGCGCGGGTGGAGGCCTTCCCTGCGCGCCCCCTGCCCGGGCTTTTCAGGGCTCCCAGGGGGCGGGGCCACACCCAGCAGCTCCGAGCTTTCGCGGAATCACAGTTGTCACAGTGGAAGGGGCCTAGGAGCCCTCACATCAAGTTCCCCCATTTTCCAGTTGGGGCAACTGAGGCCCAGAGAGGAGGAGAGCCTCCCCAAAGTCGCTCACTAGAGGCTGAGCCATAATTAAAATAAATGGCTCCCGACTCCTAGTTCCTTTTCTCCAAGCAGTTTTCCAGCGCCCACTGTGAGACCGCGCCATGCAGGGTTGTTGGGTCAGATGCATTTAGGGCCCTTACTCTGCCCTCAGGGAGCGTACAGTCAACCCGAGGAGCCAGACGTGACCCAAGGTTGAAGGTGCTAAGTGCTGGGGAAAAGGCAAGGGTAAAATTTCAAGGGGCTCGGAGAAGAGTTTGGTTTCCTCGTCCCTCAGGAAGCATAAGAGGCTTTGGAAGGATGGGGGGTTTTCTGAAGCCAGCCAGGCAAAAGGAGCGAGGCCTCGTGCGGGAGGCAACCGCAGAGCAGAGAAGACTCAAAATGTGGAGAGTGGGGATGGAGCTCTAACTGTTACTGTGCTGGGAGCACAGGGTTGGGAGGCGTGGGTACAGGAGATGAGATAATCAGTGGAATTGGGCCTGAGGGGTGTCTTTGGGACTTTGAGGTGCTGGGGGAGCTGAAAGAGCTTTGTGGCTTCCCTTCCCTTCCCAGTGATCCAATGTCTGCTGGCCCTCAACACAAAATGCAAAAATGTAGGTTCACGTTTGAGCTGCTTTTCTAGGACCAGACTCCCTTGACCTTGTGTCCAATCCCGGCTCTCTTTCCACCTCCTCCCCCTTTTCTAGTGCTTGCTTACCAATAAAACTCATTCTCACGAAGGTGTTAGTGACTTGGCAATGGCTTACCTCCCCCAGCACAAGAGCATTTTAAGAAAGCCTTTAAGTGGAAGGAGAGAAAGCAGCTGACACTCTCCTCTCCCCTGCATCCTCACCCTCCCTGCCCTTACAGATATAAAGGCCCAGAGAAGATGGGTGCCTGTTCTAAAGCCTACAGTGAATGATGGTAGCCGGTGGGAGGCCAGAACTTCCAGTAGGGTTCTCTGTACCCCATGACCAGCCTTCTTCCTTTCAGGGTCTCTGCCTGCACCAGGCTCAGTCAAAAGGAAGAATGTGTATTTTTTTTTTTTAATCTCAGTATAAGAATACACTTTATTTTTATTTTTTAAATATACAGCAGGTTCTTATTAGTCATCCATTTTATACACATCAGTGTATACATGTCCATCCCAATCACCCAATTCATCACACCACCACCTCCACCCCCCCGCGGCTTTCCCCCCTTGGTGTCCATATGTTTGTTCTCTACATCTGTCTCAATTTCTGCCCTGCAAACCGGTTCACCTGTACCATTTTTCTAGGTTCCACATATATGCGTTAATATACGGTATTTGTTTTTCTCTTTCTGACTTACTTCACTCTGTGTGACAGTCTCTAGGTGCAAGAATGTGTATCTTGCATTTAATTTTTGCAAGGCAGTCCCCCAACACCAACACCCAGGCCTGCAGAGTCTAGAGTGTAGACTCTAGATGCGAGATAGGTAGCCGGGGTTGGCTGTCTGAATGGTAGGGGTGCATGCCTGGGGCCTTTGGGTCAGGCAGCTGCCCAGGGACATGCTCCTTGTAAGCAGCGGGCAGGCCTAGAGCCGGCTTTGGGGATTGACAGAAGGAGGAGAAACAGCTGTGGAGCTGGTTACTATGATTGGGACTGACTGAGTAGGACCCTTCTTCGAGTGACATATGCCAGTGGACAGTCAGTTCCAGGCAGTGGGAGATGGGAAAGGAGGCTTCATTATGAAGGTCCTTAAAAATGCCAGGCATGGATATGACTTGATCATTTGAGGGTTTTGAGCAGGCTGGGACATGAGTGAGAGAGGCCATAATGCGGTCTAAGAATATTATCGGTGGGGTGTTGCTCATTTACCCCACGTGTATTACTGAGTGCCTGTTATGTGCCATTGGTAAAGATGAGAATTTTACGGCAGGGTCCTTATTTTATTGAGGCATATAAACTGTACATTGTATGTATTGAGGCATAAAAAGTACACTTTTTCACATTTTAATATCACTGAAATTGGGTTGTCTTATAATCACAGATGTGTCATAGTTGAGCAGCGCTTCATTCTAAGTTGATAATGGTACATCTTACCCTTGATGGTTAAGAGTTGATAAAATTTGTTGATCATGCCCTTTATGAATGTACAGTGCTTTGAACTTTATAAAAGTTTTTCATCAGATATTCCATTTGAATCTCAAAAGTCCCCTGAGAATTGGGCCTGGTGATCCTGTCATCTCGACTTTACCTCTTGCCCAAGGTCACAGAGCTAATTAGAAATGTGCTCAAAATGACAGCCTAGAACTTTGCCTCTTGATGTTAATATTTGACTTTGCCCTGCTGTGGAGCTAGCATGGGTTAATTAGGAATGGGAAGGTCAAATTGAATTTGATTTCAGAACTACGGCTGAAGATGGTGGAATGATGGTGGTTATTTTTCTTGGCGGGGTGGTTTGGCCAAGGGCAGAATGTAACTCATGAGGACTGGGAGGATCCCTTAGCCCAGAGATTTGCTGGATTAAATGGAAAATGGGCAGCGAGATAGAAGATGCCAGGTAACATAATAAAACCAGAGGATGGAGCATGCTGCTGTTTTTACACAGAACGGAGAGGAGCAGTGGATGAAGCACACAGGTTCTGGAGCCTCCCTTCTGTAAAGCAGGAACTGGCTAGCCCTGGGAGTGCAAAGATGAGGAGGACACGGTCCCTGTTCTTGGGGAGCACCTGTGTGTGTGTGTGTGGTGCTGTTCAAGGGCTATGTTTCTGCTGCACTGACGTCGTTCCACCTCAGGGAAGCTACCAGAGGGAGCAGTGTCTGAAGAGAATCTTTAGGGTTATATAGGAATCGCCCAAGTGGAAGAACAACAGGTAAGGGCTGAACCTGTTAGGCATATGCAGACAAATGTAGGGAAGGAGCATGGTGGTTGAGGCTGGTTTTTGCATGGCCAGCATGAACAGGGTGGTGGCAAATGGGAAAAGGGAGGACTTTCATTCTTTGCTAAGTAGATTTAAATTTATCTTGTGGGCTCTAGGGGCCAGTAAAGGCTTCTCTAGAGATTTGCACGAAAACAAGGCTGGGCAAGGGCTCTGGAAGCATCTGTGGGATTAGGTATTGGGATGCTAAGCGCAGGAAGAAGAGTAACATATTTAGTAAGTGGTTGAGTGGAGCTGAGACTTTGACCCTGGGCAGTAATTAGGAGGCCTAGCTCAGCGTGTGCATTGATGGGTGGGGACTTTTCCTGGATAATGGCATTGGAAGGCAGCACCCAGCTGGAAGAAACCGAGGCGAGGAAAGGAAAGGGGAGGTAAAGTTGTGATGCATGCAGGAAGCTTATCTGGGTGGAAATCCATGGGCTTGAAGGTGTGTGTGAAGCAGAGGTGGGGAAGGGAAGAAGGAATGGAATCGTGATGTGGGAGTCTGCTCTAGATGGCTTGGATGCGTGGAGGAAATGGCAGTGCCTTCTTAATGCGAGTCATAGAAATGGGCAAGGACACTGATGCATTGATCAGGACCTCACCTCTCCTGACTTTCTACAAATAGGGTGGGTGGGTGGCCAGGGGGTTAATGGGATTCATGCTTGGAAGCAGGTAAACTACAAAATTGAGGCTAGAAAATGTTTATCTTTCGATCCTTCTTTCTTAATAATAATAACATAATTAAAAAAATTTGAGTACTTACCGTGTACTTATGTAATTCTCATACTGATTTATTAAAGTAGGTTTTATGATTATCAGTCTCATTTTGCAGATGAGAAAATGAGTTTGGTTAAATAAGGTTACACAACTACTAAGCGAAATGGCGAGTTTAGAACCTTTCCGTGATCTTCACCGCTCTCTCTGTGCCCACAGAAGGAAAAGTGGAAATTGTCGATGAAAATTAATCAGTCGATCTAAAAAAGAACTGGAAAATTTTATTCGATCCAAATTTGAGCATTATAACCCGGGAAGAGCATCTCAGAACACTCTGAGAACTGTTCCGCCTGTTAGAAGTCAAGGCATGGTTATATAAGCTTCTTGAGACAGAGGGCTGTACATCACATGATGTATTGATATTATCAACAGTTTACTTAATGCAGATCTAAGCATCATCCTGGTGGGTCATGTGAACCCTGCAACATCAAGAAGGAATGTTATTGAGGCGTTGTCTGGTTGATGCTAGGAGCATGTTGCTCTTGACGGTTGAGCAGGTATTCCTGCCCCTGGGGGAGGTCTGGTCGAATCGTAATGCAGACACTCGATGTGCAGTGCGGGGAGACAGGGGGCCAAAGGGCAGGGAAGCATTTTTATGTTTAAATTTTCTTGCCTTGCCATGAAATATGAATTTTATTTCACAAAGTCACCACTATCTTTCAATGTTCTTCCTCAGAATTTAACTCAGTACCCATTCCTTGGGCCCCAGCAGGACCATAATCCAGGGTTTCCCTGGGCAAGCAGGCTTTTCACTTCCACACTGGTGCTGCTTCAGCCCGGTCTCTCTTGAGATGCTGCCATTCCCTCTACCCTTTGGGTGTCTTCGCTCTGCAAAGCTAACTGGAGAGGACAGAGCTTCTCTAGCAAACATTGTTTCCTCCCCCCAACATTGCCTTCTCCCCAGTCTCTTGGAGTAATAAGGATTTGAGGTACCCCATAGAGAGGCAGTTGGGGAAATAGGATAACAAAGTAGGGGAGTGATGGAGGGTCTTGATCTCAGTCATTGCCCTTGATCTATGGCTCCTGGGACAATGTTCTCCGGAGTCGAGCCAGATAGCTCCTGTTGGATCCCGGCCTTCCCTAGGTCACGCAGACCTCTTCCTCCAAGAAGGCTTTCAGGCTCAGGACTCTGAGGGATCAACTAAGGTTCTTTCTGTGACCTACCCACCTCAGGTGGGTTATTTGCATTTTGATAACTTACAGGTAAGATATTTTCAGGGGCGAGAAGACAGATCCTAGGAATGGCACCCAGCAAAGTAAATAAGACCTTGGCTTTCTCTTCTTTGAACACCTCTCATCTCTGGTAACTTGAAGATGTTTAGTAACCGCTTGTTCACTCATTTAGAATGAGTAACATTTACTGATACAGAAAACCCAGCTAGTGCCATGAAGCCATTCCCAGACTCTTAGCCCCCTCGTACCCCACTTATATGTGTGATCACATGCATCTCTGTCTCTTGTGTTCAGTTCAGCACATCATCCGGGTCCTGAGTGATTACCCCATGCCAGACAGAAATGCTGGAAACTGATCTTACAAAGACAGCTAAGGCTCTGTCTTCAAGGATCTTCATTCCAGCCTAGGAGACAGACTGAAACAGAACATGGGAAGGCCCTACTAGAGTGATGAACAAAGAAATAATGGGAGCCGTGAGAAATGGCTGACTGACTACCTGGAAGAACAGGAAAAAAATGCTCATGGAGAAGAAGACATTGGGTTGGGTTTTGAAGGGTGAGTAGGGGTTATTATGGTGGACAGAGCTTTCTGGGCAGAGAGACCTTGAAATACAGGCACAGGCCTGAGGCCTAAGAGTGTTTGGGGGGTGTGTTCGGAGGTCACTGAGAAAGATGGGACTGGCCAGGGAGGGTTAGAGGGTGAAGGGCTGGCAGCTTGAGCTAAGGGTGATGGCAGCGGTGGCGGTGGGTAGGGAACAGGAGGGCTTTTGTTACTTTTTGAGTAAAGGAGGGTGTCGTTGGGTCTGTGTTTCAGAGAACTCTGGTGGCAGAGTGATAGCGGTTCTGGGCCAGAGGCGGGGACACCGCTTAGGGGGCTGCTGCAACGTTCCAGGTCAGGAAACACCGGCCTGCGTCAGAGTAGAGAGGGAAAAAGTTGTGTACTGTTAGAATCTTATCAGGCAGCTGAGTTCCTATTCTTGTCCTTCCAATTATTTGCCAGCTTATCAGCCTTGACTGGAAAAAGTATGTTATCGGCACCAAAGCTTGTAGGCAGTGGAAGCCACAGGCCGGCAGCCAGTTCATGCCTTAGAATTGCGGGCTGGGGCCTTGGTGGCCAGAGCGACCTGATTCCTCCTTTTGCTGGTGGGGAAACTGAGACCCCAGGGAAGTGCTCAGTCACACCCTTGTCCGCTGAGCTGGAGTTGGGTGTGGCCCTTACTCCCTTTCCTGCTCTGTTTCAAGGGTGTTTTTCATTCTTTCTCTGCTGAGCCTGGCTGGACACATTCCTTCCCCACCCCACCCCCAGGGGCTTTGCTTGGGAGCATTTGGGAGGGACTATAACTTGGAGATCATTGTTACTGGGCTTGAACCTTGTTCTTTGCACTTTGAAAACAAAGTGATTAAGAAGGTTCAGTTTCAGTCTGAGAGTGCTTTGGGGGTTTCTCTCTTTTTCTGCTATTTATTCCTGTCGCTTGTTTGCCGGAACCAAGCTTCTGCATGATAACTTTCAGGTTCTTTGCCTGTGGCGGCCCCCACCCTCATTCCCATTTTATTTTTACTTATTTTTGCTTTCCTAAAAGTTTTCAGGCTGCCAGCATTAGATCCCTTACCGGGTAGATCCTGCTGTGTTTTCTTTCCGTCTTAAACCTGCCCATCACAGCCCATCTCATAGAACCCATTAGTGTTTCGTAGCCTTTGTAGCACTTTTTATGTGGCGAATGCATTTTACGGTTGTTTTTTTATTACTTAGCTCACAATTGCCATCCAAGAGATGGGTCGGCAGGATCAATCTTGTAAAAGTTCAGGGGTGAAGGAACTTCCCCTGTGGTGCTTAAGTGGTAGAGTGAGAATCAGACTCCCAGCTCTAAAGCTCCTGTCTTGTTCCTTCCTTCACTTCTGCTGGTGAGCAGGAGATAATTGATGTGAGAGTCTTTAGCAAGCCCTATACACAGGTGAGAAACTGTTATTATTTCATGGTGTGGTGATTGGTAGCATTAGCTGCCCGTCTGTGACTTTGGAAGGCACCTGAGAATCTGGTTGGAGACCCCAGAGCCCTGAGGATACGGGCTTCAGATGCTATCATTTCAGCAGTACCATCACCAACTTGGTTTTTGGTGTAAGAAAACAAAGACCTGTGTTTGAGTCACACATTAGCCCTGTGATCTTAAGCAAGTTCCAGAACATTCCTGAGCCTCAGTTACCTTCGATTTTAGATCATGTGATCTATCCCAATGCATCTGTGAGAACCAGACATTTCTCTGACAGTGCTTTAAACACGGTCGTATAGTGTGTAATGTGGCCGTGCAGTGGGCACACGTGGCTAATTCTTGGTGCCCAGCAAGGTGTCTAGCCCACAGGAATGGCACCTTGTCCTTCTAGAGGAGATTGTGGGATTTAGACCCAGGCAGCTCCAAGTTCGAGTCTTAGCCGTGCGACTTAAGGGAGGGTGCTCCCTGAGGTGGTCACGGCCGATCTGGTGTACTGACTTACTCATTTTCAGACTTCTTATTCATGAGGGCATCACTGTTGACAACAGTCACTTTGCGAAGTGGGGCGAGTACCACAGACGTTCACAGGCATTTCCAGGCTATGCAGAGGGATGGTTTGTCACCAGTGAATGGCTGTCCAGTGTTTCTTCTTCTCCGTTGTGATCCTCTAACTCTCTCTTGGTGTTTTAATTTTTTAAATTTATTTTTATTTGAGAAAAATCGGCTGACATCTTTATTGCTTTGGGGAAGGGGGTCACCCAGGAGCTCTTGGTGCGCAGGTCCGCTTCCTCTTCACCGTCACAGGCTTCTGGCAGTGCAGGATGGCGCCGGCTCTCCAGGGGTCGGCCAGGCGCCAATCTGTGCGGTGCTTGTTCTTTTGGATCACGTGCCGGATGCTGCTGAGTGTGGCCCGGGCGTTCTTGTTGATGGTGGTCCGCACATAGGTGGCCGGCTTTCGCGGGCCGGATCACCGCTTCATCGCTACCATGACCACTTTGCTATCTGCCGCCGGCTGCACACCCACAGTCTTGCGGTGAATGGGCCCGTTGTGGCGGAAGGAGTTGCGGGCCTTTAGGTTACTGGGTTTGGTGCTGTACGTCTCCTTGTTCCTCTTGATCAAGAAGCTGGAGCAGTTCCGGACGACCAGCCATTGCAGGCGCGCGGACATGGCGGCAGCTCCTCTGGTTGCGGAGGCTGGAAAGAGGCAGGCGGGGGGGCGGGGCCTCTCTGGGGTTTGGTTTGCGCTGTGTTTGCGCTCTGCTTCTAGTGCAGTCCTTGCTTCTTTCCCGGCTTCCCATTGAAGCCCCCAGTAGTTCCCATGGAAAGCTGGTGCTGAGGGGTGGTTCCAGGCCTTCCTCAGAAACTTGTATGGGAACCTTTCACGGGGCAGGTAAGCAAGAGGGTCAGGACAGGGCAGAGTTGTTTCATTGTCCTTCAAGAAGGGTGCTTTGGCCTCATTCCATCCCCACAGTGGGCACTTTTTCCGCTGCAGCCGTGGTCGGCATTCCTTAGTCACTCAGGCCATCAGCCAGCAGCTTCGGAGAAGATGGCCGTGGGCATGTGTAGTGCGAATTCCTTGGCATTTTCAGGAGACCGCTTTTTGGGCGTTAAGGGAATCCTGTCTTTAATGTTAGTGTCGGTTTCCTTGTCTGTAAAAATGGCTGTAGCAACAGTACTTGATGCAGAGGTAGAGGGACCATACTTTCTGGTTTTGCCAGGACAGCCCTGGTTTATGCCTGTGTTCTGGTGTAGTATATACAGCGTCCCCTTCCACTCTCAGGTATTCTGATTGGAGGTCACCCTACTTGTTAGTACTGAGTGAGGTTGTGTAAGTCAGGGGTCCCCAGTCCCCAGGCCGTGGACCAGTACTGGTCAGCCGCCTCTTAGGAACTGGGCCCACAGCGGGAGGTGAGCGGTGGGCCAGGGAGTGAAGCTTCATCTGCCGCCCCCCATCGCTCACCTTACCGCCTGAACCAACCGCCCCCCCACCCCGGTCCGTGTAAAAATTGTCTTCCAGGAAACCAGTCCCTGGTGCCAAAAAGGTTGGGGACCGCTGGTATAAGTAATATGTATAAGACCAGGACTAAAGTCAAATGTCAACAAATGTCTACTGTTTTTGTCAGAGGAGATGCTAGGTGCTCAAGAAATGTTTGTTCAGTGAACTACTTTTATAAAGGTAAAGTCTGAGGATGTTTGAAGGGAATGTCTAGCTTGTAGGCAGTTAGACTTTATTAGGTTGATAAAAATGTGTTAGTACCTGTTTAGAATATAAAAAAAACGCCAGGAGAGTGGTACGGATGGAGGGCTTATTGAGTTCTCTGGAACGTGTGCGGAAGCTTATTGGAAGGGCTGGGCCTTGGATTAAACATGGAAGGACAGGAAGGCTTAGTCCAGGATGTGATGGGGCAGCTAAATTGCTCTGGCTACTTATAGTTAAGAAATAAGATTGAATCTCTGTCCATGTGTGTATTTTATATGTTTATTTCTGGCCACACCACACGTGGGATCTTCGTTCCCCGACCAGGGATTGAACCTGGGCCCTCTGCAGTGGAAGTGCAGAGTCCTAACTACTGGACCACCAGGGAAGTCCTCATGTGTGTAATTTAACTGGGTTTTTAAATCTATTATTTTCTAGCCGATGGCCCATCTTGATAAAGATCTTTAACTGTAACTGTGGCAGCTTAATGCGGTACCAAGTTCTGTGCCAAGAGGTCACCAGAGTAACTTATTCTTCTAATGAGTTTCCAAAGAATATGGTTCTTGTTTAGTTCCCAGGAAGAAAAAAAAAAACCAGAAATTAAAAAAACTTAATTGGCACCTAGAGCTTCTGTCTTGTTTGATATGAAAATGAATCATTTTCAGGAACTGGAGGAGGGAGTTACTACCCAGAGGGCAGGGTGTGCCCTGGTAAGCGGCACCTTTTCTTAGAATGAGGTGAAAGGCAGGTCAGCTTTCCTGTAGTCTGGTTGTTTCCAAACTTCTCTTCTTGGCTGCAGCAGCTTCACTTCATACGAACTATGAGGGTTCCAGTAATGACAGCTGGACAGGACCCTCCAGATACATCTGTCCATCGGTCTGATGTGTTTGTGTGTTCATTCATTCCACACCAGGTGCTGGGTGTACCTGTGAATGAATGAGTGAAACTCTAGTCTGGGCTTGGGGGATGGAAACATGAATGCTGTGCCATCCCTGCCTCCAGAGGTCATTTAAATAATCAAGAGAGGATGTAAAAGTATATGGAAAAAATATCTGGTGACTCTAATTGAATGACGACTAACTCTAGGGACCCTGGGGAAACTTCACAGATAAAAAGACTATCATTTGATTGGGCCTTGAAGGATGAGTGGGGATTTGTCTAGTGGGCTAGAGGAGGAGGGGGGTCATTGAGCAAGGGAAATAACACGAACAGGTGAGAAAGTGCATGGCACCTTGGAAAACTGGAGTCATTGGGGATGGGCTGTGGAGTAGAGAGGCCATGGAAATGAGGGTGCAGGGGTGGGCTGGGATGTGGATTGGCAAAGGTCTAGATTGCTGACTGAGGACTTGAGACTGCGCTGTGGAAGGAGCA